CAACTTAGTTGATTTTTAAATGGATTCATACAGTCTACACCATACACTAAAAGTGAGAAGATAATTCAGGGTTCCTAAGCTATCCTTGCTAAAAAAAAACAAAAATAAAATAAACCTTTAATAGTACTTCCCCAATATTCGTATTTTGGTCAATCCTGTTTTTCTTGTTTAAAAAAAAAAAGCTGTAAGCAACAACATTTTGTCTAAAAGTTGTAATGAATTTTCAATGCCAAAGATGCAGCTGTCAATATGACCCGAATGAGCGCTATGTACTATCAGAGGTATAAATCACTCTCCATTGTTTTGCTTATATTTCTATGGTTTTTAATTTGGAGTCACAAAATCTTTTATAAGGCTCTATAAACTCACCTGTATATGTTGTTAAAAAGAACACTGGGTGTCTGTACATTTTGCAATGTAAGATATAATGTAAGTGAAGTTAAGTATTTTAAGAAAATCATCCCAAGCTCATAAATATGCATACATACATACATCCATACATCCACACACACAAACACCCACACATCTCTCTTTGACATAGTTTTGTGAAACTATACAAATATATTGCCTAAAAATATTTCTCTTGTGGCTAGGAATAGTTGTTGATAGAATTCCAATTACAAAGGCAAAGTATTTGCCAAAACTATTGACTCTTTTATCACAAAGGAGATTTGCAATTAGGAACATGACACATTCTCAGCTGACCCCTCTCCCATTGGAGTTAAACTGGGGTCAGCCACCATCTCTGTTGGGAAAAGGAATAAGCCCTTGCATATAATCTTTATGTTCTGTAATAATTCTGTGGTCTGAAACAGTATCTTAGAGCATTTCTTTTCTACGAAATATTGAAAAAAAAAGAAAGTAAAATTTCAAAGGTAAAGTTTAAAATTCCTTTCATGTCCATGGAGTTTAAATACCATTTACTAAATGTAAAAACCTAGTAAAATGTTTTTTTCTTTTTTTTTTTTGGTATTGTGGTTTTTTTCCCCCCACTGTATCTTAAGACATCAAGTATTGAAATCCAAGGAGAGCACACATTGTTATCAACTAATGTCTAGCCAAATTTGAACCAATTCCTAGCAATGATTCAATATTCAGTAAGACGAGAGAAAAAGTCTCATTGATTGCAGTGGAATTTGGATTTATGCCATTTTTTAGGAATTTTGCTGTCCCCATCATGCTGCCACGGGATGAATGTGTGAGAAGCTGAATTTAGCCACTGCTGTGTTGTAATAGAATTTGGGTTTGTTCCTTTTGTTTGTTGCTTTTGGGTTTTCTTTTGTTCTTTATAATGACAGTTTCTGTTAGATACGAGTGTATAAATCACCACGATGGAAACCATCCTGCTATGGATCCAAACAAGATTCCTAATCAAATTACAAAAGTTCTTTCTACAACTAGTGGACCAAGCCCTGAAGTTGTTAATTTAATACTCCAAATGAAAAAATATGCTTGTTAAACACTTTTTAATGTGTACATCTAGCACATTTGTATAACTACGAATTGTTTTATGGCATCATATTTAAAGTGTATATATTATTCAAAACACCGTCAAAAAAAGACAACAACAATAGTTATTGATTTGAGCAAACAAAGAGTGAAATGTTCCTTGAGCTGTAGGTAGTGAAACTTTTAGTCACCCACAGGCTTTGTTAATTTTATGAAGAAAAGCAATGAAATTTGTGACGCATATTTCTTTTAAAAGAGATTGTTAAATTCTTATTTCTTGCTTTGAAAGCAAGAAAGTCCTTGCCCTTTTTTAAACTGTTTTTTCTTTGTATCTAAGTAACTTTTTAATATGACATATACTGTAAATTAAGTTTGTTTTCAGTCTTTGGGAGGAAAAAGAAATGTTTTTCCTTTCTATTTCATGAACAGTTGAAGTGTTTTTATTTAATGAAACTACCTTCACATTTTACATGCCATTTTTTCTGAAAAATAATTTACAGTATCATACCTTGTCATTCATTTCCATAACTGAACTCTTTCCATCAACAGTGATATACATATACATTTCTTTTATTTATTTTCAAAATTTTATTTAATGCTAAATAATGTAGAGATTGCTCCATGTATACACAGAAATCCTTCTGAGTTCACTGGGAGAGTCCCAGTGGGAATCATGATAGGATGCAGAACTGTTGAGGAAAAGGATGATTTTAGGTACTACAGCCTGGGCTCTCAAGATAAAGATGTAGCTTTTTGCTGCTTTCCCTAGCTCACTGTGAATTTTGGTGTGAAAATATTTGGTGACACAAGCTTTAGGACACATTAAAAACCAGTGTGTAGCTGCTGTGTCCCAAGAGAAGGGCTGAGAAGCAAATTGGGCAGTACAGAGGCTCAATTTCTCCCGTTTCTTTGTTTTAGTGGGGAAGAGACCTATTGCATCTGCCACCTCCCACTGAAATTGTCTTGTTCAGCATCTCCCATGTATTCCATCGTGCTACTAGGTGCCTATCTGCAGGGATAGGTATGTAAATGCCTTTAAACATCAGCTTTTGTATTTGCCTCTTCCTTTAAGCATATGTGATGCAAATGTCTAAGGACTCTGATTTGCATATTGGACACAACAGTGGATGGAAGTAATCAGAAAACGTTTAGATTGGATATAAAGAGGAAATATCAATACCCATAAAATGGCATAAGGAAGGTTCTGAGATCTTCATTAAAGGTCTTCAAAAACGGTTCAAAAATAGCTGTCAGGGATGATATAAGTGTACTTAAACTTGCCTCAGAGAAAAAGCAGGGACTAGGCTCTCAGTCCTGTTGTTCTCTAATATACCTGGTAGGGCATGCTAAGCTTTGGAGGATGTGATCTGTGCACAGCTGTAGGGATAAGAGTGTTCTATCCTTCAATTAGCTGTCAGAAGCAATATTTAAAGTTTAAATTCACAATTTACGAGCGTAATAAAACCAGCTGTCTGTGTGAAGAAGTGTCTTTGGAGTAGAGTTCTAGCACAGGAGACAGGGTCTTAGAAAGGATAAAAAAATGGAATCAGGTCTGTAAATCTTTTCTTTTTTCAATTCCTGATTTAGATATGTAGCAATGGATTCCTAAGCAGCTTGCCTATTCAAATTCTTCACAACCAGACTTTAGTTTCTTCCACATGGATTCTTCCAAAACTTAGAAATACTAAAACATTTCACTACTTGAAATAAAATTCCCATCATTTGATGTGAGTTTTTACTAATTTGCATATTGGGGGAAACAAAAGAGGTATTTCCATCAGCATATTCTCTGATGATTTGAACAAGGTGTAGTAATTTTTCATTGGTACTATTGCAAAATTAAGTGAAATGAAAATACACAGATAAATACAATTTGTAATGATTCCTGCATTATAGCCACTATATAGTCATGGGGGATGATATGTGTGCGTGTGTATATAACTATAATTAAAATTCTGGTAAGTTGCCATGGGATTTTTTCTTACAGAATTATGCTCCTCTCAGTGAATGCAAACAGAAGGGTAGAAACACATATATGATACTACAAAGCTACACTTGTTCCTTAGTGTAGAGTGGAGTTTTGCATTCGAGAATTAAATCCAGCCCCTTCTTCATGCATTATACCACAAGCAAGCACACAACTCAGTTTTTGACTTCCAAAATATTTCCTGCTCATAGTAGGAGTTTCTTCATTCTTTTTTTTTTTTATATTATCATTCCTCAGGGTAAAGGGTGGATAAATAGATAGTCTTCCTAGGCTGATAAATTGCCATTGCGATTTTGCAAGGCTGTTCAATATTTGTATGTCCTACATGGAGAAAGCTGATCATATCCTGCCATCGTTCCATGTTCAAGTCTCGAGTTTTATGGCATTGGGACTTGTGTATTACAATCTATACAAAGGTGTAGGGGCCAAAATAAACATCTCTGATATACTTTTAGTTATTGCAATTTGATTGCCAAACATTGGCATCAGATGTCTATAGGGAATAGAAAGTTGTTTATCCTAGTTGCAGTAGTGTAAAATGCAGCCAGTAGGACTTTATTATAATTTTGTGCTATGAGAAATCTGAAACTGTGAGTTCAGTCCATTGCACTGATCCCTACAATCAGAGCTCAAATTCTTCTTAAAGAGCTCCTTCATTTTATTTTATCTCTAAGAAATGGGTACATATATATATATATACAAACAAGTACATGCAGCCGTTACAATCCATTGTTGAGCATCTGTGGTTTTGTAGATATCCTCATATGTAAGAAGTGAGCAAGAACTAACTTGGACAGCTTTCTTGAGCTGCAATTGTTTTTGAATTTGAATTTGTTAATAAAGTTCATGATATTGACAGATGTCAGGAAAAATGAAATCTCTGTGGGTGTAGTTCTCCAGAAGGCAAACGCTTCACTTAGGAAGCATCCTGTCAAATAACTGTAAACGTGAGTGCTGGAAATCTTGCTGAGTCAAGATGTAACACACTGTGCTAAAGCTTTCTTGTTCGCTGTGTCAGCACTG